GAACAATGTCTCGTTTCACTCCGCCGGGGAGTTTCTCTATCGGCTTTTTCCCGCTAATTATTTCTAAAAGCAAAATCCCAAAGCTGTAAACATCACAGCTCTCAGAAACTTTACCCCACATGGCATATTCAGGAGCTAGATATCCAAGAGTTCCCTTTACCCTAGTAGTCAGATGACTTACACCATCCGGGATCAGCTTTGCAAATCCAAAATCAGCGACTTTTGCTTCAAATTCAGTGTCTAGAAGCACGTTGCTGGCCTTTATGTCTCTGTGAATTATATGAGGATTGGCCTCATGATGCAGGTACCTTAACAATCAAACACACAAAAGAAGATCAAAAAATGCGCTAGATAATACTAAAACTTAATCTATGAATTAAGAGTAATACTTGGATTTTATTGAGTTTAGAAATCATAATGTACGCATATGTTCACTGTTTTGTACATAGAAGTATCCAAAGTTAAAGGACCAAAATTAGAATCTAATTTAACTTAAGGTTTAGTGACAATTAGATATCTGGTATACATTAAAGGATTTCTGATCAATCTAATTTTCTAATGAAGTTAATCATGGCACTTTGAAGAAGCCAATAGTAACATTATCTAGCTAGATCTTACTGCTAATGAATGAGAGGCTAGATATGCATGAAGCATCTTTAGCATATTCCAGTTAAGAACGACCTTTGAATTTCAGAAGTCATCTGAATGACTTTGGCATTGAAGCAACATACAAATTTAGGTGACCTAATCAAGGGTTTACTTTCATATTTTATATAACATTTTTTGTTAGGCAAATTGGCGATTAGTTTATGTATACTTACGATAGACCTTCAGCTGATCCAATGGCGATGCTCATTCGTCTTGGCCAATCAAGAAGGCAATCTGCTGCAAGTTGGCCATGCAAATGGGTGATCAAGCTATGATTAGGCATGTAATCGTACACTATGAGCCTTTCCTCACCGCCGGCATAAAATCCCCGCAGGCCTAACAAGTTTCTATGCCTCACCCTTCCGAGTATTTCAACTTCCACCGCAAACTCCATCTCTGCCTTTGCACTCATCGTCTTTAGTCGTTTCACAGCTATCTGCACATACACATGCATGTTACCTAAGTGTTACAAAAAATTGAACTAGAGAAGAAGGAAACCAAATACTGATTGTTTGTATAATCAGAAGGAACTGAAATTATTCTAAGGAAAAAGATGGACATGATTGCCTTGCCTCGGCGCCTTTACTTGTTCGACCCCAATAAACACTTCCAAACCCTCCTTCTCCAATTTTGTTGTCATGGTGGAAGCTGTTTGTGGCATGAAGAAGCTCCTTGAGGGAATATATATCCCACGGGTAATCCCTATTCTTGTGCACCCTACTAATTCATCAAACCACCCCAAGAATTAAGATGAAAATTGGTAACAATTAAAGATAATTAATCAAAATTGAGTTTAATTATGTGTACCTGGTCTCAGCTGGTTCCTCTTGATCTCGAGAGACGCAGCAACAGCAAAAGCAGTTCCAGGGCATTTTGGTCCTTGGAAAGAAAGAACAAGCCTTCATAACTGAGGTATATATGGGGGGCAGTGGATTAATAATAAAATGGAATGTGACTGTGAAGGATGGAGAAGAGTACAAAAGGTTGATCAAAGCAAGAAGATGAGAGGGCAAATATTTCGGAAATTTTGAAGCAAAAGGGAAGTAGTCTTATGGTGAAGACAAAAGCCAGCCTTGGAAGTCAAGGAATCATGATGTTCAATGGTGAGAACAAAATGTTATTCTCTATCTCTACTCACAAGCAGCCTTCAACCTCATGTATTCTAGTGCTTGTTAGCTTTTGCCCAAGCTATTGTTTTCATTGGAAATGTCACATTTTTTATTTTCTCATTAATTAGACTTTCATAGAAAATTATTTTATTATTAATAATACGTGATATAAAATACTAACCAAGGTTTAGTATAATAAATTTTGATGATATGTGTTACCCTTTTTTCTATGAAGTTGAAAGTGACACCACCACCCGCGATGAAGTTGGCTATGTAACCATCAATTGTGACCTTTCAAAGTTATGATGCAGCACAAATTAACTATTGATTTTGCGATTAAAAAAAAATTGTGGGCTAAAACCAGCTAAGAATAGGTCGCACACAGTCACCTATATTTATAATAATTAGCTGTAATTAACATATTTAATTGAATAGTGAATACATTATTAACTCTCTAATGCCAATGATCTTTAACCTGATGGCACGTACCCATCTTTTATTTTAGATCCAAGCGCACAAAATGAAAAGGTACGCTGAAGCTAATCCTAGGATTGTCACAAATAAACTTATTTGGGTGTTTGTAGAAAGGGAAGAAATTGAGTCCAAGCTGGTCTAATTGTTATTATTTGTTTTTTTAACAGTTGGTTCAGTGATTAGGATAAAATAATCCCTTTTCACCTTTGAAACAGAGAATTGCAATTTTATTGCTTGATGGATGGTAAATATATAATATAATCGATTCTTGTTAATCAGTAACATTGTAATGAGGATTAGATTGAGAACTTGCATCTCAGTTGTTATATTATTAAATAAACAGATGGGATCTCACCAACTCTCATTTATTTAACAACAAAATATTACCGTTGCGCCATTAAAAATAATACAAATTTATAAATAAACCCAATCCTAGACATGTATTTATAAAAAAACTCTAACACTATTTAAACATAGAAACACACCCAAAATCAACAATTGTATATTTTTTGGGTGTGTTTATAAATGGGTTTTGAGTGTGTGTAATGTTGAGTTTTGGGTGTGTTTATAAAGTGTTTTGAGTGTTGAGTTTTTTTATAATTTCAGCCTCCATTTTGGGTGTTTTAGTGAAACCCCCAATAATAAAACAAAAATCGTACTTTGAGTTATACATTTGTTAAGCCTCAACTAATACAAGCGATGGTCTAAACTCTTTTACATAAAACACAGTTTTTTTAGTGGCCTTTGTTTAGGAAGACAATTTAGGCTTGAATTCGGATGCAGGAACACTTTGACCAAGCTACGTGCTTAATCTCAGACCAAAATAAAGAAGAAGAAAAAGAAGGTATGCACATACAAACGGAAATGATAAATTAATTAAGCACTTGGCCGCAAAAACTTCCAATGAATCAAATCCTCTGCTCATTGACGCTGTACAACAAGAAAGAAGAATTTTCCACTTTGCTGTATAGTATACTATACAAAAGTCTTCCAATTGACAATAGCCTATACAAAGTCTTCTACCTTCTGCTTATCCCTTTTTGTTGTTGAAAATAATAACAAATAAAAAGAAATCGAATAACCCAACATTATTGACCCCAAAATAAAATATAAAAGCAACATCTTGTAGTGCAATCCAATCCAATCCCACCCATAATTAGCATCTCAAATTGGAAAGGTCTGGGTTGTGCCAAGTGACACTACTCAGAGATATACTTGCTACAAATTTGGGCAGGGGACCAAGTACTCATCAAACCTAGACTTTGTGACTCAGCATATGTATATAAATCCTGGGTTGAAGTTCTCTTAGGAAAAAGTGTTCTTCTGGGCTGACTTCGCTACAGCACAACACATTTTCTAGGCTCTAGCTGTAGCCTGTATATAATTAATCTTGTTCTTAGATTTAATTACATGCAGAGAGCTTAGCTTAGTTGCCGTGAAAGAACATTGTTAATGATAATTAGTACTAATTAAGGGAGATTGGGCCTTAGTTGTACCATCTCTCTTTTGTCCGAAGACTCATTGGGGTATTTGTGGCCCGTTTTGTTTTGTGCTTTCTTAACTGTTTTTGGGCCTCTGGGCTCCACTTATTCTAAACGAGTATGAAATCGATTTGCATAGGGGGGTGCTTTTTTTGGGTCAGCCGTTAGGGGGTGCTTGCTTTCTACTATAGTAGAAAACAGAGAAGATGATGTGAAGTTCACCAATAATATGCGCATGCAGTAGCTAAAACGAAGAAAACACCAAAGGTTCTGCATTAAAAAGTCAGAACCAACCACTAGTGTAAGGGATCATTTGTGGCTGCTTCTTTAAAAGCAATACTGTTGATAAGCGATTCTAGTAAAAGCACTTTTAATGATTTAAATACAAAATTCTGCATATGATTATCTGATAGTTGGCTTGTTCAAAGCCAGAGGAAAATTCTTCGCAACAAGTGTTGATAAAGGAAGCTAGCTATAGCTCCAACAATTGAAAAGCGAACAACTACTAACTCAAGACTTAACATTAATCCTTCGATTTTGTTCATAAAGTTGGAATTCACCAAAGTTGATGGTGTGGTTGCAGAAATGGCTTCATGCTGGTGGAGCAAAGCTAAGTTATGAATACGTGAAATCAATATCACCAACAAAAGCAATTACCCTTTTGAACGTATACGAATACCACAGCTGTAAGCCTGTAACTATATATACATCCATGGAACTCGGGATTGATATTAATTTCCAAGATTTCCAAGATATGTTTAGGCCGTTAGGTGGTAATCCATGTCAACATAAATAGAATTATATCTTGTAGTAATCCATTCAGGCATGCATATGTACATAGAAAACCAATAAATTGGAGTTGGTAGGATCATGGTCTACAACTCTAGGTGTAGTATCTATTCAGTCCTGGTGTTCTTTTGGGGTGAAGAATCTCTGCATTAATTTTATTTAAAAATTCATGAGTTTTGATTCTTGCCAACAACTCTATCCAACTATGATTTGCTTGCAATATATAAAATCACAAGGAAAATGAAAAATCCTCTAACCCGGCTAGTGATATATCTTGTAACGAGAAGCACTCAGCAGCAAACTTAAACAACTGTGAATACATCAATATGCCTTATAGAGCACACCATGAAAATATATATAAGATTATCTAAGCATGCGAGTTTAAGATTAATATGGTCTAAAAGTTATATAATTGGACATTTAATCTGGATACACATGTACTTAAACAACAGGCAACGAAAAGGTTGCATGATCCATATTAAAATTTTATGAACATCACAAATAATATTTGTTGCTTTCTGTTGTTACATGAACTAATGAGTTCACAGCGTCAAAACGTACGTACAAGAAATGAGTTTTCTTAAAACAAGGCACTACAAGTAATGAAACATCAAACATTTGACAAATCACAATTACAACAAAAAATCTAGGGTTTTGATACATCAAAAAGGACAACTAATTCACGTAGCTAGGGAAGGGAATACCTCCTAACAATTAACGATATGCCTGCCACTCAGATTTGCAAATTTAGTTTCAGTTGCAACTCAGACAAATCCACACATTCCAAATCGTCGACCTGTGGATTGAACAAAAACTGTGAATAAACTTTCGTGGATAGCTTCCTACAAAACCTAATATCAAGAATATGAGTAACTAAATTGACAGGAACGACCATATATATACCTCGCACTGAATAGTGTGGAAGACCCTTTCGTTTACTCTGGTGGAAGCACACTCAACAACACAAAGGCCTTCAGCAAGCAACAATTTCAGCACTCTTGAAAGAGGCAACCCTTCATCCTCGCTGCAGCTACTATTTATCACAACCTCCACTCCCCCAAAACAAGTTGGCCCAACCATGATATTGGTCACGGAGTTAACCAAATCATGACCCAAAGTTTCATTTTCTAGACCAAACTCTTGTGCACTAGAATCATATTCATACAACCTTCTAAGCTTTTCTTTCTTAGCATTCAATTCTTGGATCTTCCTCTTCATTTGCGTTATATAATTCACCGCCTCGTTCATGTGCTCGGAGATTGAACGCTTTCCCTAAAATCCCATAATAAAAAACCCTAGAAACATTAATTATCTAAATCAAGACATTCAAATTCAATCCCCAATAGAAAATTAAGAAATTAAGTTATGTACATATATTAAGAGAGGTTGATCTTGATTCTTGACCTTGATCAATTCATGAGGGAGGAGGGATCGAAGAGATGCATTTAGAACTGCCATAAGTTGTCTTCTTTGGCGCTCGTTGTCCCTACGCACGATCTTCCTTTCAACCTTTACATCACTAGGATTTGCTTCATTATTGTCCGGATGAGCAAATAATATCATATGTTGCTGTTGCTGCTTGCCTTTTCCCATTTTCTTATTATTATGGGAGGGATCGCTTCCCTCTGGCAAAACCTCATGACCCGGCACCAGATCTTCTATTTGCATCATATCTTCTTGGTGGGGATCATTGGAAGAGATTTGAAATTCCAAATCCTTGCTTTGATCATTAGGATGATAAAAATTAGGAAACATTGAACAAAGACATGTACATGCAAATATTCGAGCTCCAAGATTCTTTAAGAGTAAGAGTGAAGGTTGTACTTAAGGGCCTTAATTAGTGTTCTTAAGATTCTCCGAAATCTCTTTCCTTAATTGCTTGCCGAGGAGCTGCAAACGTGGCATTAATATTGGACCGCATAATAAAGTCAGGGGTAATACATTTATATTCCATGTGAACCAATATTCTTTTCACTTTTGGACTAAACCAATTACTGCCTGCCCATTTACGTTCACACATTTTGGTGGACCACCATCTGTCGGAAAGTCGGCAGTCGGTGCATCAAATGGGTTCAGACCATGGGCGACCAACCTCAGTACATCCGGTAGTCCGAGACCCAAAAGCAAATCAATTATACTGCCCCTTATTTTTCGATATTTTTCCACACATATATGTTTATTAATTTAATTTCTTTAACGGAAGAATTGTATTTGTAGTTACTTCATTCTTGTATCATACAATAATTTCGACAACATAACCAATATGAAGTACCTATACATATTAATTGATCGAGAGCCTCCAATGCGTGCCAAACAATATTTAACTTCGCAAATGCAACAATTATATATCCAGATAAAGCTAGGGCTAGCTAAACAATATATATTGAAGGGCCACTGCCCTAGCATCCTAATCCTCTTTCTTCCCAGGACTGAACTTATTATAGTGAATTATCGCTTTATCCGAGAGTTGGTGGTAACAAGCACAATACAAGAGGTGCACTTAATACTAGAAAATTGCATACAAGTTATTGGGCCACCATTTTTTATTGAAAACTTTGACCATGTGTTCCTATACGGACGGTGGTCATATTATAATAACCAAAGATTAGGGGAAGCCGCAATGCCAACAGTATCAAGGCAAAGATATGACAGATAGACTTCCTCCTCTATTTTATTGTGGCCACTGGCCAGTCCATACATAATTGAACCAAAACTTGCTTTACAATTACTTCTAAAGCAATATGCAAATATGGTTGTTAGCAGAATGAAACCAATATGCATACAGAACCCAAGATCAGCTTCGCTGTCTAGTTTGTACCATTCCTCCTTTTTTACAGAATTTTATTTTTATAATTGTATCAACATCATCAATGACGCATTTGGTTGTCATACGTATCTCCTTGTATTATAAAGTTTCATGCAAGGTTATTGAAGCAAAATTGATCATCAGTCACTAATGTAGGTGCCAGTAAGGTACATGTTTTTTGGGTTATAACAGTTCGAACCATTCAACGATCTATATATATATTGGCAAAATTGTAATGTTGGTGTTTTAAAAATCCAACAGACCGACGAATCCAAGTTGATATTATCACTAAATTATTCTTTATTTGTTTGATTTTCCTTCAAAGATAACATAACTATAGCCTAAAGACTTTATTCGCTTTAGTGAATAACAGAGAAAGGAAGCGAAAAGTAATGTAGTGAAGATTAAAATTCTTCTCTTTTTTGTGTTTAGGAGATTAAACATTTGCTTTGTAAAGGTAGGAGATTCTGAAGTTGTTAGAGTGAAAGTGAAGTTAGTCTCTTTAATATTTGTTATCACTGTCTGCCAACCCCTGGTTTAAATAGCCATCTTCAGCTTGTGACCTGCTGAGAGCTCAGAATTTTGAGATCATGTCTGCTTGTCCAAGACAACATGCAAAATTAATACCACAGCAGGAAATCAGTAACGGTAAAAATTGACATGAGCAACATTACAACACAGCAACAGCTCCCAATTGATGCAAATCTTCCATGAGAAATTAGACTAGGTAGTAGCTAGAATGAGCTCAATTTTTCAGATATATATATATATATATATATGCATGGGTGAAGTCCATTGAGAGATACATTAAACAAAGCAATATGCAGCTGATCAGTTTACTACGATTCTAGTAAAAGTCGCTCATACAAAAACCTACAAACATTTATCTCGCTCTGTGAATGAGCAGAAAAAGCAGCTAACTATACATATGTGTTGTTGTTACTTAATTAGAAAATCTAGTCAATGATTCAGTCAGAATCTGCTGCAACCCAGAAAAGTCTCCCCAAGCCGGATCGCTAACCTGTGAAGTTGCACATGGAAAAGAAGTAATCAATGCACTGACTATAACCAGACACATAAAAACCTAAACTGATTAAACAGCTTAATTTAGATGGTTTAGGGGATGATGAGACAAATGTAATTAATTACCTCAGATTGGATGGTGGAGACAAGCCTTTCGTTAACTTGGGTGGTAGCACAGCTGATTACAGTAAGCCCTTGTCCAAGCAGTAGTTTTAGCAATCTTGATAGGACCAAACCTTGCTCCACAGAGCCACCCCTACTTATCACAATCTCAACGCCACCAAAGCAAGGGTGCACTGCAACTCGAGGACTTGTTGAAGAAGTTGATGAGCTAGCACTCAAACTGGGCAACGAAGACATCCCGATCATTAGCTCATCTCTTCGGCTGCCAAGTAGTTTGATCCTCGTTTGTAGGTGTTTGATATAATTTACAGCTTCGTTCATATGTTCCGCCAACGAACGCTTTCCCTGAAAATATTCCACAAACAAAATATAATCCAAATCAGATATGTAGATCAAAAATCTAGAAAGAGGAGAGAGAAGGGTTCATTCATATATTATCCAACATAATAAAACCCAACAAAAACTGAGAAAGCAATAATAAAACCATTTTTCCTATAAATCAATTGCAGAGAATACACAAGGCAGCTGAGCTAAGTAGGAAGAAATATATAAAGTACAAGATCTTTAATTACCTTGATATATTGGAGAGGGAGTACGGATCTAAGTGATGCATAAAGGGCGGCCATTTCTTGCCTTCGCTTCTTTTCAATTTCTCTGTGCATCATCTTCTTTTTTCCATCATCATTAGACTTGTCTTGATTTTCTGCACTGTCTAAAGTCAATGCTAATGATGATTTTCTCTGCTGGCCTCCGGTATTAATGTTATTGAACATGCCGACATCCATTTGACAAAATCAGATCTTCTGAGATTCTATTTTGTTCGAATAAAGGAATAAATAGATGAAATACGGAGAAGACCAACTTATATTTCTTTGCTGCAAACGAAACATTGTATATTAGAATACTGTCAAAACTATCTTCAAGCTTTATTTTCTTTTTCTCAGAATGGCAAAGAAGGCAAAATAGTAGTTAGGGTTTTAGATCTTGCATATGGACCAAATTAAAATCTCAAGATTCCCAAAAGTCTCTTCCCTGGTCTCGCTAGCTGTATTAAAATATTGCACCGTGCTCAACGCTTCCCATGCCATTTGTTTCTTTTACTTCTTCTTTTTTTCTTTACCTTTGGAAATTATTATTTTGCAATATATGGCATGATTGAAGCCTTTTTTTTCATAGAAAATGGCCAAAAGTTTATGCCCAAAATATAAAACATGGGATAATTGGACACGTAACAAGCTTTTATACTGCTGCCAAAAGTGAATTCTCTTATGTTACCAAGCTGGCGTATATAAACAGAGTTTCAATTGTGAAATCCCTCAAGTAAGACATCTTTATAGATCTTACTTCAAATTTTATTTTAATAATCTGAATCATAAGTTTTTATGTCTTTCCTCAAAGATTATCAACGCACAAAATCACTCAAATCCAAACCGTTTAACCACTCAATTATATTTGTGTTTTCTTGAAACACCTTGGTCGTTATAAGTACATGTCTTAATGATTTCTAATTGGTCTTTTTTTATAATTACAAATATAATCTTGGAATAAAAACTTATAAGTGGATGATTCGGATCATTAAATAATTTCATCCCTCATTGTACAATTGAGTTGACAATCATATGGGACTGCAAGACAGTTAGGTGTGAATTAATGATCTTAAGAGGAAGAAAGTAAAACATGGCAGAACTATTAACTATATAATATATATATATATATGTGTGTGTAAAAACCCACGAGTCCAACGATCCAAAATATTATATAATCAACACCATGCAACTTGTATGCCCTTACCAACTATCAATTGATGACCATGTTAATTACATTGAGTACCATAATTAAAGTCAAGTTGGGTCTAATTAAATTAATGGATAGATGTACACTCTCTAAAAGCTTAAACCGTTGAGACCATTAATTTCATCATGCATGTCTATCACATGGGTTTAAATTGATTTTCAAGTCCTGCTCAATCAAATGGTAAAGGGCACCCTGTAGGATTCACTATGCATAGTACGAATTAACAAAGTAATTAAAAATTGATCACAGTCTGATCTGATACTAATCCTTCATAAGTAAGCTAAGAAGTAGCTTAATTATTCCATCACATATTGATAAGATAGGTTTCACAACCACTAGTAATATTAAAATAGATTCGCTACTTGATTTTGTCAGGAAAAACAATTAGGATATAGTAGCTTAGCTGTTTCGTCGACCATTACAAAATATTTGTCTCAGAAATGCAACATTATCAACAACTCCTTGTCCAACTCATAAAGCACGCAGGCAATTTCCTAAGAGATCTTCTTGATACTGTTGGTGGTTATATGCTTCCTGTTTTTAGGGTCCTGCTGCACTGCACAGACACCCTTGGGCCTTGCCCTACTACATATAATTAATTTTCTTTTCCAGAAAGAATGTCTTAGTTCAAAGTCCTTCTAATCAATTAAAAGAATCAAGAAACAATCATCACTCATCAATATATACTGATTCCATACAATTATTAAATGGACAATTTATTTAGGTATGTAATCCACCACCTAATGCGAATGCTGTTAACATTCGTACATAGGAACAGGGCAAACGAAACGGGCATATTAAAAAAAAAAACTTTTAAAGTGGCCGGTGAGGTCACTCACTCTCTCTCTCTCTCTCTCTCTCTCTCTCTCCCCCCCGTACAGTCATCAGTCATCTTGTATCTGAAGAGAGATGTCAAACTTGAAGGAATCTTTGGGATCTTAGGCCCATCAAAGATTGATCATATCTACTTCTTTATATTAATCCTCCATACCCAATTTAGAGAGAAGGCTGAAGCTAGCTGTTCAATAATTGTCAACTTGTGCAATATATGATGTTTCCTTTACACCAAAGCAAGAAGCTGGTCTTCCAGACTTCATCTAATCCTCCCCAAAAGCACACAATTTCAGAAGATCGGATTCTTGGACATGCCATTAGCACAGGGAAAAGCCGCCGGCGGAAATTAGTAGCTGCTTTCAACTATGACATGATTGATCACAATTCGAATGATCACAACAAGAAGAAGAAGATGATGATGCATAGGGAAAACGAAAGACAAAGAAGGCAAGAAATGGGTACCCTACATGCCTCACTCAGATCCCTACTTCCTCTTGAATTTATCAAGGTGAAGCACCCTGCCATCTCCTGTATTAATGATCTTTGTGCGAGTGGACTATATGTACCAAGGTCCTTCAGAACCAATATGATTTTTTTCTTTTTGGAATTTATTCTTTGTAAAAATTGCTTTAATTTTTTACATCCAACATGGTGGTTTCGTACAATTATATGAATACCATTTGAGATTTGACATCAATTCCTCTAGCATCTCTCTCATGGCTAGCTGCAAGAATATGACTAGGGTTAATTATGTATTGGTTGGGAAATTAAGCAGGGAAAGCGTTCGATATCTGACCACATGAACGAGGCTGTGAACTATATAAAACACCTTCAGAGTAGGATCAAGAGATTAGATGCCAAGAGAGCTGAATTGAAGAAATGTTCCAATATAATGAGCACCACTGGCACTGACCATGGGGCTACTACTGGAAGCTCAGATGGGCGTTCGCCAAGCTGTTTGACGGTCCACCCATGTTGTGGTGGAGTGCAAATCGTGATCAGTTCTAGGGGCTTCAGATCTACAAAAGATGGCTTATCCTTATCCTTCTCTATCTCAAGGGTTCTGGAAGTGCTGCTTGAACAAGGGCTTGCTGTTGTTAGCTGTGTTTCCTCCAAAGGAAATGACAGACTTCTTCATACTATCCAGTGCGAGGTTCGTCGTCCTCTAAACTCCTAATAATTTATTGATATGTTTAGGTTTAGGGTTTGTGTATGTATGTTTGGAGTTTCCAACATTGATCGGTTTTCCTGCATATAATCAAAATTTTCTTCTCAGGTAAATGATCTTGAAAGTATTGATCTTTCTGGCCTGGAGCAGAAACTAGCCGAACTAGTGTCTCCATTTTCATCCAGATGTATATCCGAGTAAATTAATTTTAGTATATTCATTCGCGTGGAGTATGCTGCCTCGATCTTATTTCTCGTTATTATAGCTAGTATTGAACTTGGTTTAATGACTCTCAAGAGTGGCTTCTTAGTTACAATTTCCCTTGTGAAATTAGGTTAAGTGTTTGCTGATTTTGTGAAGCCTTCCCAAATGTTTCTGTAAGATAAAGGAAAGGAGGGAATGCCAAATCTCTCAGTTTATGTACAACTTCTCTAATTGAGCTTAATTTCGTGCAGGATATAAACTGTTGTGCCTTCCATAGTTTTTGAGAAAGGAGTTGGTCAGTTAAATTGATTCTTCTTTTTCTTCCTTTTTCATCCTCCATAGGATCCTTGTGCAGTTGAAGTCATGAATTGAACTGGCATTAATTTTGTGCAGTTTAGGAAGATGATATCGTTTATTTATATGCGGGGAAGCATATATACATAGACTTTTATATGGACCAACGTTAATCAAATATATATGGTTCTCGTATATGATCATTTATATACTCATTGGTACGCCTGAAAAGTACATATTATATACTTGTTGTATAGTTCATGATGTCAATGTGTATTCTGTTATGGTTTCTATTGTAGATATTAACACCAAGTTGAGAGCAGAGGAAGTGCTGCCTCTTGAGGCTTCAATCCGAAACAAATAGTAAATGATATGCATTTGTTCCAATATTTCTGCTTCTTCTTTTTCTTTTTTCTATGAGTCTTTTTTTTTATGTCAAGTGGTAAATTTTTGCTTTTTCAATCGGTATAGTTAGTAGCAGTTTACGTCTCATCTTGTTTCTTGAAGGCACACGCACATCACATGTGCAGTGCAGGATTATCATGCTTTCGTCGTCTCCCTCCTATAATTAATTATAAATTATAATAGGAATATGCCATATAGTGGACAGCTTCAGCGACATGTCGTGTGTGCTTTTTAGCCACGCCAAAAGGCGATCTGTGAGATGTTTAAAATAAAAGTACAGACTGGGCTCGGAGACTAACAGGAGCCATTGCAAACCTTGGGCCTAAGCCGTGGCTACTCTGTTTTTTTTTTGTTCTCTCGTAATCATTACCAACTATTATAGCAGCAGCTGCGTTATTTTGGAGGATAAAAAAACAGAGGCGATGGCAGCAGCAT